GAAGATGGGAATTAAAGTGACACTGAAATCTGATCAAATCATGTTTAATTTTACAGAGGCAAATACAGTGGTTTGGGGAATTAAACATTGTTCTAAGGTTAAAAAAGCATGTTTAATTTTCTCTATTAATCTATTATGTAACTAATGCAATCCCTAAAATTGGCAAAGTGAATCTAAATCAGTTTTCTCAGAAGCAAGTAGAAGTAGTGATGTTAAAAATCTTACGGTATGTAGAACCATGGTGTGAAAAGGTACCTCAGAGGTCACCTAGCCTCTTTGCTTAATGTAAAATCTATTAAAGCAATGGTGACCCGGAGTGGGGGGGAGGGGGAGAGGGGAAAAGAGGGAATGATTTTGTGGGAGGAGCAGGTGTCATGTGCAAACACCTGCAACAATTGTGGCAACACATGTGTGAGTGAGGCGCAAGTGCCTGCAACAAGGCTTGCGTGAGTGGACCCACAAACGCCCATGAAGCGCTTGTATGAGTGGGGCCACGAACACTCACGACGACGCTCGTACAAGTGGGGCCACGAACATCCTTGAGTGAGGCCATGCGCATGCACACACAGACATGCATGCAACGGTGTCAATTAGGCCACAGCCTGATAGTGGGCCGTGGCCCAGACGTTGGAGACTTCTGTATTAAAGCACATCAGATGACTATACAGTCTCTGTTTGAAGATGAACAATGAGGGGAAGAAACCATTTCAATAAGGAAACTTGTTCCATTCTTTGAGAGCTCTTCCTGTCAGGAATATTTTGCTAATAACTAATCTAAATCTGTTTTCTGAACCCAGGGCTTCTAGTCCTACACTGCAGGACAACAGAAAACAGTTCAACCCCTCCTCTAGATGACCTCTTTTAGAAACCTGAAGATTATTGTACAAGTAGTCCTTGACTTACAAGTATCCGTTCAGTGACCGCTCAAAGTTACAATGGCATTGAAAAACTGACTGACATTTTTTCACACTTACGACTGTTGCAGCGTCTCTATGGTCACATGGTCGAAATCTGGACCATTGGCAATTGCTCATATTTGACGGTTGCAATGTCCCAGGGTCAGGTCATCACCTTTTGCAATCTTCTGTCAAGCAAAGTCAGTGGAGAAGCCAGATTCACTTGACAGCTGTGTTACTAACTTAACAAGTACAGCAATCCACTTAACAACTGTGGCAAGAAATGTCATTAAAATGGGGCAAAATTTACTTAACAACTGTTTCGCTTAATTTCTGGACTCAATTATAGTCCTAAGTCAATGACTACGTATATTACTTCCATTCACAAATGGGAGTATCAATATCAATCAGTCTAGACTCTTGGTGACTGCCTATACCAGGGGTAGGCAACCTTGGCTTTTTTATGACTTGTGGACTTCAACTCCCAGAATTCCTGAGCTTGGGTGGCTCAGGAATTCTGGGAGTTGAAGTCCACGAGTCATAAAAGAGCCAAGGTTGTCTACCCCTGGTATAGGGCATCTGATCTCAAGAGAAACTTTCTTTCGTGTTGAGACTTTTCTTTTGGGAGACCCATCCTGGTGTACCTACCACCACGCTATAGATAGTGAGAATAATAATGTGGGACCTTCCGTTGCTCTTAAAGCCTCTTTGTCTTCATTAAAGCACACCCTGCTGTTCTAAGTGTACACTCTCTACAGTACTCTTTAACAACAAAAGCTCGCTAAGTTTTCACAAGCTGCACAGCAACAGCACAAGTCTCAAGGAAAGAGGTAATGATATTAAATGCAGGTGGGTGGAAAGATCAGTTAAAGGAAGCAAAACCAGCCTGGGAGCTATGAAGGCATCACGGAATTTAACATATGTTGTGAAATGAAGATCACGCACATATAACTACTTTTTTTATTTCATTACCATCAATTAAATGGCCAACCCTTCACATTTCTTAGAAAATCTAATCATCTCTATAAAAGAAGCACACAAACTGCTGTTTTTCTCCAAGAAACTGAAGAGGTTGCAAATATTTACTGATTTGCTTCATACGTCACAGTAAGCTACTGTTTGCTTAATGGCTGAGAGCATAGATCAAAATTGGCTTCAACTCAGTGTAATAAGCCATCATTTATGAACAAGTCATATCTAGGCTAAGTGTAATGTGTGAGTCCACCGATTGTACGCATTTAATTCTTACACTCTACAACAAAAGTTCATTCAAATCTCAAAGTGCTGATGCGATTTCTTCTAACTGTTGTTCTTGCAGGTCAGAATTTCTGAGTCATGTGGGTTCCACACTCATGGCTTTCTGGGGTTACTTAATGTTTTTTCAGCACCTAGACCAGGGGTCTTCAAACTTGGCCCTTTTATGATTTGTGGACTTCAACTCCCAGAATTCCTCAGCCAGGCACACTGGCTGAGGAATTCTGGGAGTTGAAGTCCACAAGTCATAAAAGGGCCAAATTTGAAGACCGCTGACCTAGAACTTCCTCCTCTGCTTTTAGGAATGGGATTTTCTTTCCTGCAAGTTTTCATTCACAAGACAGGCCAAGGGAAAGCAATGACCCTGGCTGGAGGATTCTGGGAGTTGAAGTCCACACATCTTAAAGTCTGAGAAACATTGCTCCAACATTTCACCTTTATATGTTCTAAAGAAAAATTTGGTATTCCTCTTTCAAATAACTTCTAAGGTAGTCCAAATAGCTTCAAAAAGTTATTAGCAACTGTGTTGGTGCTAAGGCAATTCTCACATGTTTTTGTTCATTGTAATGTCACATAGTATTATATAAAAGTGCAACTCACCCAGTTGAATAATTTCAACAATAGCTAAATTGTACAGTATGCCCTAACTGCCATCATTTTGGGCACTGATCAGATAAGATTTTTATTTTTTTTTATCTTTATCTTGTCTTTATTTAACCATTGGGTGCTGTCTCTTTCTCTCCTCTCTCTATATAGTAGTCCACAACTCCATTTTGTGTCTAAAAAGCACCTATTCTTCTCACCACTATGAAACAACACAAAAAAAACCTATACAAAGAAAATATAAGGAACAGGAACATGAACAATACGTTTATAGAAAATAGTGCCTCCCAGTTGTATTAGTAGCATAATTTTAACCATTCTTAGCCAGTTGGTTACAATAGCTGGGAATTTTTCTAGTCTTAGTATCCAGAGACCACCAAGATGGAAAAGCTGGAATAAACTATACAGACAGGAGCTGTGCTCAATTCTAGACTGAAATGGAAAAGACAGGTAGGACTATATTGTTTCTAGGGGGTTCTTAAAAAAAGCTCTGCATGCTTTTTATATTATTTATGCTATTTCGAGAGTACCACTGATAAATGTATGCAATGGAAAAAGAAAATTCTCCTTCAAGTTGAGATCTACTGTTGAAAGATTCTATAGGCATGTCGTTTTCTTGCCAGCACTACAGAAATGGTTAGTTACTGGCTTCTTCTGAGATGGTTTATTTTCTAGTGTAATTTACAATCCTGGAGATTTCTCATCTAAGTACTAACTGGCAGCAACCCTGATTAGCTTCTGAGTACCGACTAGGTCAGGGGTAGGCAACCTTGGCTTTTATGACTCGTGGACTTCAACTCCCAGAATTCTTGAGCCAGCCAAGCTGGCTCAGGAATTCTGGGAGTTGAAGTCCACGAGACATAAAAGAGCCAAGGTTGCCTACCCCTGGACTAGATAAACCAAGTGCTGCCACCTGCTGAAGCATTACTACAAGGAAGAATGATTTCACTAACCCCAAAAGTCAGCCCAAAGTAAATAGCTTCTTGCAATGTTGCTCTTTGATTCTGGCAGTTTTCTAATAAAGATGAAGATGGGTCATTCTTCAGCAGTACAGTAAAACCAATTTTGCAACAAAAGTATAACGTTCTTTTTATTGTGCGAAACAGACTATGTCTCTCAGAAGATCTTCCCCTGTCTTATTTGCAGATTTAATGTCTAAAAAAAATAAAAATTGGGAAACTGCTACAGAGGCTTGGAGATACAAAGGGTGCAGATTAAATGGCTATATTTCAATATAGGAAATTCGCCAAATTCCATTAGTTAATCCAGATTAATACACAACAGCTACTGAAAACGGAAGCTTAAGTGACCTGCTCTAGTTGTAAGCTTCTTGTGTGAATGATTGCCCATGCAGCTCAAACACAGAAAGAGAAATCACTAGGTGAAATATGCACTATAAGTAGTCCTGGACTTACAACCCTTTGTTTAGTGACCGTTCGCAGTAACAACAGTGCTGGAAAAAGTGACTTACGACTTTTTTCACACTTATGACCATTGCAGCATCCCCATGTTCACTTGATCAAAACTGAAATGCTTGGCAACTGGCATGTATGTATGATGGTTGCCTATTGTGACTTCCTGACAAGCAAAGTCAATGGGGGAAGCATACTACCATACTAACTTAACAACTGTAGTGATTCACTAACAACTCTGGCAAGAAAGGTTGTAAAATGGGACAAAACTCACTTAAGTGTCTCAGAAATTTGGGGCTCCATTGTAGTCGTAAGTTGAGGACTACCTATACCGATACAAAATATATACATGCCAGTCTCATAACAAATCCTTAAGATGTTTTCTGAATACAAATAGTATTCAACATACGACCACAACTGAGCCCAAAATTTGTTGTTGCTAAATGAGACATTTGTTAAGTGAATTTTGCCCATTTTACAACATTTTTTTTGTCACAGCTCTTAAGCGAATTACTACAGTTATTAAACTAGTAACATGGTTGCTAAGTGAATTTGGCTTCCCCATTGTCAGAAGGTTGCAAAAGGGGACCCCAGGATAGAGTTAGTTGCCAAGGGTCTGAATTTTGAGCACGTGACGATAGGGATGCTACAATGGTCGTTAAGTGTGAAAACCAGTCACTATTTTCAGTGCCACTGTAACTTCGAATGGTCACTAAATGAACTGTTGTAAGTCAAGGACTACGTGTATTAACATTTAAAAAAAAAAACTAATGTAAAGCCTATCTACATTCACATTGCGAAGCCCATTCACAAATAATAACCGGCCGCTACTTACTTGGCTTGGCATTGGTAACCATGATCTCAGAAGATGACTGCAAAGGGAACCTGCAGTTCTCTCCTTGACCATCATTACTTCTATACTCTATGACGTCGACATGCCCAAGTGGCAAACTCCATTTTAATAAGTACCTCTGGCCACTCACGACACCACTGCTTTCATGGGAAGAGCTGAAAAAAGGCCACAAAGAAGGATGAAAAGAGGTCATTTTTTTCTTATTATTTTCAGATTTTTTTTTAATGTTCTCAAACATAAATCTCCCCAGTGTATAACTTTTTGTTCTAATTCTACAAGTACTGCCCAAAGAAAAAGTCCCAATGGAACAAAATTGGATTTAGAGATGCTGCTACCTTATGTCTGTGTCTGGCATTAACAAAAACCACAAGGTAAATTGCAGATGTCATGAAGATTTTTTATCATTTTTAAAACAAAAGCAAACTTAACTGTAAATGTTTTGCTACATTACTTCTTTGGTTAATGAGCAAAAATTTCCAGAAAAAAAAAACATCAGGGGATTTATTTCTAAATGAAGTAGAAAATGTTATCATCCAAAAGGAAAAGGCCACATTTAATTCCCATTGCTCCACAGGACACTGCATTTTGAGGAAACACCTTGTGTAACTGATCCAAGATCTTGCATGCAGATACAAAGCATAAAAACACCAAAATGTGTGTGTGTGTGTGTGTGAGAGAGAGAGAGAGAGAGAGAGAGAGAGAGAGAGAGATATTCCCAGGACATATAAACCATGTAAGGAAGTGAGAAGAAAGTATTGAGTGGGTTAAAAAGAGAAGCAGAAAAATTTCCAAAAATCCAAGAGGAGCAAACAGCAAAAGGAGAGCTGGACTAATTAATATTAATATTATTAATTAGTCATTAATAATATTAGTCATTAATAATATGACCAATAATGACTCATTATGTTTATCAAAGACTTTTTAAAAACATATTTATTTTCATTTATCAACAAGACTACAAAACAGAAAAACAAACATCCAGTGCTAACAATGAAAAAGAAAAATAGCACTAGCAATAGTACTTAGACTTATGTACACCTTCACAGTGCTTTACAGCCCTCTCTAAGCGGTTTACAGAGTCAGTCTATTGCCCCCAACAATCTGGGTCCTCATTTCATCAACCTCAGAAGGATGGAAGGCTGAGCCAGTCAGGATCGAACTCCTAGCAGTGACCAGTGAATTAACCTGCAATACTGTATTCTAACCACTGCACCACCACGGCTTTTGTACACAAAAAACCTGTCTGTTAAAATGTCAGATATATCTAACACTGAACATAAAGAACCCACCCCGGCTAGATATTATCTATCTATCTATCTATCTATCTATCTATCTATCTATCTATCTATCTATCTATCTATCCATCCATCCATCCATCCACCCACCCTCCCACCCACCCACCCCTTCAATTTTACCCTGGCAAGGCCTGCTTACTTGAACATATTCAGTTGCCATAGGAATGCTGTTGGATAAGAGCTTCTGTGTAGCAAGAGATCTACATTTGCAGATATATGCCACCCACATAATTACATGAGACTATGAAATTTAGAACAAGGCATTTCACAGCAGGGATGCAAAACGCAGCAGATACGTAAGACTATTATAGGATCCTGTCTGTAGGGAGAGCGCTCTCAAACCTACCACAGTGTATTTACATGCATTATATGTGATAGTTTGAATGCAAAACTGTGGATTTTTAAACTTGTGCTTTTCTCATATCGGCATAGACGAGGGGTCTCCAGTCTTCACTTCATCCCTCCCTTCATGAAGTTTCAAACTCTTCATTAACTCCAAGCACTTATTATATGAAAATAATTTAATAAATGCTACTTTAACTAATAGTGTAATAAATAACAATAATAACAACCATCTTCTCCTGGTTACATCTACCTGACCTATCAGAGAGGGGAGGTAAGGAATGTGGCGGATCCTCTCTCCTAAGGAGATACATCCACTGGGACCAAGAAGGGCCTTCTCTGGGGTGGCTCCCTCCCTGTGGAACATAATCCCCGCAGAAATAAAATTGCCCCCTGAAGACTTGGTTTTGCTCAAGGAACCCAGAGCCCTTCAAGTGGCTTATTTGATTAACTGTTGTCACCAGAGGGATCAGGGTAATTGTTTTTTATTGCTTTATATTAGGTATTATCTTTGTAAGCCCCCTGGTATCACTGACACTATGTTGGGCAGCCATATAAATTTTCTTAAATAAAACAAAACTGAACATCGACTTCTTGGATAGTCCTCTCAATCCTTATTTCTATATTCTTGCTTCTATAAAAGCAATAGCAATAGCACTTAAGACTTACATACTACTCCATAGCACTCTACAGCACTCTCTGAGCGGTTTACAGAACCACTCTATTGCCCTCAACAATCTGAGTCCTCATTTTATCAGCCTTGGAAGGATGGATGTCTGAGTAAAAACCTTGAGCTGGTCTTCATTGAACTCTTGGCTGTGAGCAGAGTCAGCCTGCAATACTGCAGACTAACCACTGCGCCACCATGGCTCATTTTAATACTTTACATAACGTGGTATTTATACCTGTGAGGATTTTGAGTGCAAAACAAATGCTTGGAAAGTTCATTTAGAAGGATGTGATCTAACAGGCTTTTTGTTCTTTTACTTCCTTCCCTACAAGCATACGTTGTGCATTTCCCTTCTTGAAGAAAAATGAAGGGAAAGAAATCTATAAAGCTGCACCCATATTGTAGCAGTACAAAAAGTAGCAAGCTGACCTGCAAAATATTTCATCGACATTAATCTCACAATTCTAGAGTTGGAAGAGTTTATTGTTTACAAAAGGACTTTTAAATGAAAAGACTAGATTCAATCACCTTTGGTTTTTTGAAGGTAACAGTTTTTAAGAAGTATAGCGTCAATCTCCTCTAATTCTAGATATTCCAGATTATTTTCTGAAATACAAAATTTTGCCAGCAATAAGTACTGGAACACTGTCCTGTGAAGTTTTGGATCTTATCTCATCAGGGCATTCTACTCCTGCATGACTGGCAAATTTCATTTGTATGGACAACTGGGAATTTGGCATTTTTCTTACCTTTCCTGAAGTTAAGAAATTAAGTAATAAAAAGCTTCTAATTCTTAAATTATCTCTAACACATCTCACTGACTCTACATCAATTTTATTTAATCAAGACCCATCCCATTCTGACCCTTATACCATCTTCTTTAGCACTGTTGTTCAATTTGCTAGTATGCTGAGTATTTGTTCATTAGGAAATGTAATGATGGGGAGGATTTTCTGCTTACAATACAATGAATGTTCTCTGCCACTAAGTAAGAGCCCTGAATTATAATCCATGATATACATGTAACCAAAGACCACGTAAAATGGACTCGCAGTAGAACACCAAAAAAAAACTTTTCCTAGTTTATATGTCTTATCTCTTTAGCAATTATTTTATAGTGCGTGAGTAGAATCTTACCGAATATGCACAGTAGCACACATGAGTACATCGTTTAACATAAACAGACGTCGTTCTTTGGTTTTCATGATCTCCCCTTTGTCTGTATAAACAGTTTCTAACATATCATCACTTCGGATGAGGTACCGGTTGCCACTGCTGAGTAACTGAATAATACGAAAAGATTTCATAACACAGTATTTTTACATCTGAATATATTCTGCTTTAAAATATATGAACCACTTTCATGAGTCCACAGAATCTTGTTATGTAATAAAATTCTTCCTTTACAATTTTGTATCTGTAGCATCATGATAATCAGGTATCAATTAATCCTTCATTTCAGTCATGGATCAACATAAAATACAAACAAAGAAAAAAATAGACCCATTTCAATAATAACTGTGACACTTATAAAAGACAAAAGTTAAGTAAAAGCCTGATTGCTAATATAATACTATAAGGTTAAAAGAGTAAAATCTGTCTAGATAAATTCGTAATATTAAAAGTAGGACTACAGACTAAAGGGGGACGGTCTGAAGGCCCACAAAAAGATGTAAAAACAGATGAATATTACAACAAATAAAAGAGGAATTCTCAGTAGGTTTACTCATACCCTGTACCAGTGGTGGGATTCAGCCGGTTCGCACCAGTTCGGCAAAACCAGTAGCTAATTTTTTGTTGTCCAGGCCCAAAATGGACTTCCAGAAGTGGCATCCACACAGAGAACTGGTTGTTCACACATTTGAATCCTACCACTGCCCTGTACTCTTAATTATCTGTATGCAAATTTTAATTGCCACCAGGCAAAATCAGGCAACATTGTATGTAATCAATGGTTCCTTTTCTGAGAAGATAAAATCAAGAAGAAAACTTTCATCATGACCTATAACAATAGTTTCTCAACTACATATATAATAGGGGCACTATTAAAGCACAGATGTGGTGATCTCAATAGCCTTTGCGCTACATGGAGAAGTTCACATAAATATGGGGACTCTGGTTAATAGCAACAAAACTTATATACTGCTTCATAGTTCTTTACAACACTCTAAGCCAGGGCTAGGCAACCTTGGCTCTTTTATGACTTGTGGACTTCAACTCCCAGAATTCCTGAGCCAGCCATCCTGAGGGGAAAGGGAGAGGTTTCCAAGCCGAGCCATGCTGGCTCAGGAATTCTGGGAGTTGAAGTCCACGAGTCATAAAAGAGCCAAGGTTGCCTACCCCTGCTCTAAGCAATTTACAGAGTTTGCATATTGCCCCCAACACTCTGGGTCCTCATTTTACTGACCTCGGAAGGATGGAAGACTGAATCAACCATGAGCCAGTGAGGATCGAACTCCTGGCAGTGGGCAGAGTTTGCCTGCAATACTGCACTTTAACTACTGCACCACCACAGCTCTTAAATCTCCTATTAAGAACTAAGGAGGGTCAAATAGCAAACCTGGCTTTGTTGTTACGCAGGGGAGGTTAATGTATGCAACTATCTGCCTAGTTCTCGCCTTGAATAAATTATGTGAGCTCATTTACGGGCTGGAATGTGACTGATCTCATTCTGGAATTACATTTAGGGCTCTTTCTCAAACAATTCTTTTAGCCTGAGTGTACCCCACAAGAAACTATAGCTCAAGTTGTCTAGAATTGCTTTTTGCCCCCAAAATTGTAACTGATCAGTCAGGACTAATGGGATGACTTCTGATGGGAAAAAACTGACATACAACTTTACTCTCTGCATTCAATAACTTGGTTATGATTGAAGAAAACCTGAGAATAAATTGGTTAGTCTTCAGAATGTCAATGGAGATGGTGTAAGGACACTCAGAGCCTTGCACATCTATCCAATGAATACAGCCTTCATCACACATGCTCCTATATTGGCTCTCCCCCCTCTCTTTTTCCCCACTTGGGATAGAAAACCAAATTCAGTACTGGCGGCAATTAATGTCCATGAAACAAATGGGATGTATTTGTATAAAATACATATTAGGAATAATTATCTAAGAAAGCCTGAACATTTTAGAATCCATCAGAACTGGCAGAGTTGGCATGCTCTAGGTTTCTTTATTATACACTGTCATTCAGTGGGACCTAGGACGTATGCCTTCTCTGTCACCATGTCCTGCACCAGAGAACAGGATTCCTCAGAGATCTGGATGGCTCTGATCCTATTGGCCTTTCACAAAATATTAAAGAACTGGATGCTTGCACAGACATTTGGGTCAAAGGTGGGCCTGGTCCCTTTTTTTGACTGTTTTGTTTACTAATTGGAGGGGAAAGGATTTTCCACCCCAGCATGTGTCACCGTATGGTTTGTATATTGATTTCACGAACTATGTTATTTTGGGTTTCAGAGTCACCTTTGTGAGCTATGCACATATTTCAAACAAACATTCTTAACAAGAGACATAAGAGAAAAACAAAAAGTGCCATTTTCCAAACCTTGTTCAGATAACGCTCATTCATGGCTTTGGCTATTTGTTTTATTTCACAGCGCTGATCTGCATCTCTTTTCCTTTCATTTAATTTCTCTGCCAGTGTTTCAAGTTCTGTGAGAGCCATCTGTAGAGGCAGCCTGTCTGGGTGGCCTTTAGTCGTGTTCTTCAACATATCCTGGACATAACAAAAAAAAAAAAAGGGGGGGGGAGTTTGTCATGCTAATTCAGCTTATTTTTCTTGACTAGAAAAAGGAAGTCATTTAAACATATCTGTCTCACAGCTACCCTTTCCAAAGCTACAGATTCAATCCTCTTTAGGGTTTATCTGCTATGTCAAGTGAGGTACACTTACCTAATTTTAGAAAGCACCGTACAATCCAGTTACAAAGTCTCTGGGCAATTGGTTCCAACATCAAACTGCTCATAAGCACTTAATTTTTTTTTCTAATACTCACATGAAATTTGCCCTCTTGTAACTTAAAAGTCATTATGCCACAGCACTGAGAAATAAAAAAGTCTTCATCCTCTTTTGTACAGGTAGTCCTCGACTTATAACCTTTCATTTAGTGACCAAAGTTACGATGGCACTGAAAAAAAGTAACTTATGGCCATTTTTCACTCTTATGACTGGTGCAGCATTCCCCATGGTCACATGATCAAAATTTGGACGCTTGGCAACTGGCCTGTATTTCTGATGGTCATAGTGTCCCGGGGTCACATGATCACCTTTTTTTGTGGCCTTCTGACAGGCAAAGTCAACGGGGAAGCCAGATTCTCTTAACAACTGCATTGATTCGCTTAATAATTGTGGCAAGAAAATCAGGCAAAACTCATTTAACTACTGTCTCGCTTAGCAACAGAAACGTTGGGCTCAATTGTGGCTGTAGGACGAGGAATACCTGTATGACATTCTTTCAAGTCATTTGAAGGATATGATCATATCTCTTTCCCCAGAAGCTTAAAGATATCTAGTTAATAAAGGAGAATGTTTGTACCTCAGGATTGAAATGAGGGGTCTTTCGTGCTCTCCGAGCTTGGTTATTTTCTTGCAGATATTTCATTACCCAAACTAGACAACATCACAGCACTGATGATATTACCTAGTTTGGGCAATGAAATGTCTGCAAGAAAACAACCAAGATCAGGAAGCAATATGGACCTTTCAGATATCTAGCTTTTTCAATCTTTCTTTGAAAGATTTACTTTCCCAATGTTCCTCATTTCTTTTTTCTGACCAAACAAGAATAAATGGAAGGATTATTTCCCATAATTTGAAATTAACTGAGCTTGATGCAGCCTAATGCTTCATTTGCCTTTTTTTACAGCCGTATTACACTGCAGGCTTACATATATTCACTTAATTATCATGTCATCCATACTTAATTAGGTTGCTGATCAACGTGTCACGGAATACTTTGTAAAATGATTCACTGCAATCAAGGTACATTATGTTTACAACAGTCCATTAAGGAATTGCCCAGTCAAATCACAAGAAAATAATAGTCTGACAAGCTTTGATCTTGGCAAATCCATGTCTTATTTCATATTCATTTCAAGGAGCTAGCAAATCCATCTGTTTATTGTCTGTTTTAGGATCTTCCCAGGGACTGCATCAGATCCTTTTTCCCCCCTCATTTTGGAATGCTATGGACAAAATTTCTTCTCCTGTAGATTGCCACTTCATTGGTTGTGTAATATTTTTCAAAATGAGTATCTAGGGGTTTGGCCAGACTAACCAACTAATTCACTCACTCACTCAAGTCCTTCATTACCAAAGAATGCACTCCAACTGGTTCTGCAGTTTTAAACTCATTTGAAAATATTCCTTGACCACATTTCTATTATTCTAAGGATTCAACTCTGCACCTTCAATCTGCCCTTCACAATTTCCTGATGACACATATAGAAGAGACTGAAATAAAATAATTCAGGGTGTTGTTTTTTCTTTTGAATATGCTTAAGAAGCCTTATATTCTTCATCCTTTGCTAACCTCAGCCCACTCTTCCCTCATACCAGCTCAAAACTATATGTTCGTGTTCCCTCTTTGTGACCTGATCTTATTTCCATTCCTTACAGTATGTCCTACTTTGTTTTCAGATCTTCATTAAGCTTCTTGGGGCGTCTATTGCTGTTCTTGGAGATTTTTCCCTCTCATTGGAAATGATTGTAATTAGGCTTCTAGTGTCTCATTTTTAAAGAAATTCCTATCCTTACTGAGTTCATTTCTCTTCTCTTTCCAAAGGTTCCTACTTTTCTCTTTTCTGACAACATTAAAGTCTGCTTTTTTGAAGTCCAAGGTACTTATTTGACTTGAGTCTGTTTTAGTTTCCCTTAAACAACTCTGGCATTCTCCAGTATTCATGCAACCTTTATTTCTACAACTGAATTTTCCCTCATCTGCAAAGCTGGCACTTTGGTATAACTGCCAAGAAATGAACAATTTTAGGGCTCCTTTAATAATAATAGTAATCAACTTAGTACTAGCAATCTTCATAGTTATACTACAGATAAGTTTCATCAAAAGGATGTTACTCCAAAGGCCAGAAAAAGTAGAAGATCAAAGGACTGACATTTTATATTTTTTGCTTAACAGAGTCTGATATAATCTGGCAAGTACACATTACAGTACTGTAATTTAACATGATCAGTATAAATATGTAAACTCTCTGTATTGCCACTGCTTTCACTGTAGCTACCAGATCAGGAATGTTCTTGCATTCCATTCCTCTTTTCTTACAATTTTCGAAAATAACTGTAATTTTCATGCAGGTGACAACAGGGCATAACTTGTATCATTTCTTGACTTAGGATTTGACAGGATAACTGAATTGTATTTACATGTATAGCATTCAATTGCATCAATATCTAGTAGACATTTAACTAGGATCATAAAACAGGTGAATACAATAATTATAGATTATTGGGGTCCCCAGGGGGACAAACATCACTGGAGGTAGCTGATAAGGTAAGAAAACCTCATTCCCGTCTCATCGATCTCTTAGTTTTGGTTTCAGTATAGTTTTAAAATCTGAACCTGTGTAGTTTTAATGTTTTAATTATTTTTAATACTTGTTTTAGAACTTGTAAGCTGCCAGAGTCACCTTATAGGGGAGATGGGCAGCATAAAAATTTAATGAATGAATGAATATACTTAACACATTTTAAAAGCTTTCCAAAGCTGTTTAAAATAATCTACAGTTGAAGCCTCCTACGCACCAAGAAAATGATTCTATTGCCTAGGCCCTAATATCAGAAAGCTCTAATTCATGCACATTCCAGTCAGTGGCAGAAAACAATTGGAGGTTGTCTTGAGTCATAAAAATTTTTATATGCAGTTAACAGAACTCTGAAGTAAATTTTTGAAGGATTATGCATGATGTAGCGATAGAAAAGAGACAGCAATCCATCTGCTGTATTCTTTACTGCTTGAAGTTTCTAAAAACTTACTGGAAACATAACATAAATTGAGGTAGTTTAATATGATGGCTGGCACATACATAACCATGATGAGATTATTGTGTGGAAGAGCAGAGTAGACCTAACAGAGTTGCTTCAACTGAGTGAAGCTACTCTGGATCACAACTCTTATCTACAATGACCTGGTCTAAAATAAAACTCAGCTCTCAAGCTTTGGAAGAATCTAGACTTGCTTCTTAAGAAATGACAAGTTACTGACCTCATGTGTCCATTTTCTCAGACATTTTCCCCTATTTAACACCAGAATTATCAGTGTTGAGCTTCAGGTAGCTCATGATCTTCTAAGTGCAAATGTCAGCTGGCGGACTCTTGTGGAATACCACAAAGGGAGATCTAGCAGCTAAAAATTAGATGCTCATCATTACTTACAGAGTCCAGTCCTCCAAACTGGGTTGGAACTGTATAAAAGCATGGCCATCTAGCCAAACTAGAATCCAAACTAGCCTCCTCAGAAATAATCCTTAATGAACAGTATCAAAATTGGCCAACATGTCTGACAATAATAGAATGGGCCATCGTAGACAACACAGAGAACTGTCTCCATACTTTAACTCTATATTAAACTCAAAGTGATATTGATTTTAAAGTAATCCTAAAGTTCCTTTCAATGTTCTACAAGAACACTAGCAAAAACATAATATCCAGGAAATTAATCGCTAAAAAGTTGTGACTGTCATATACAAAGAACAATATGGGTGACTCTAAAACCAGACAACAATCCCATGAACTAAAGATAAACTCTGCACTTTCAAGTACAACTCAGAAATTAGTCACAGAATTGATTTTCAATGACAAAACAACTAACAATCAGATCCTATTACCATGTTAGTGTTTTAGCCAGTACTATTCAACAAACACCAAGGAAGATGGCAAACTCAAGCAATTTTAAGAAATGATACATGACTTGCCTGTAATAGAAGGATGAACTGAGGAAAACGCTGTATGGGCTTCATCATTAAGCCATAAAGAGTGATTCTATCAGGACTAGATTCTTGACATTGCTGTAATGAAAAAAGTGGTTTTTCTTATATTAGCCACTGAGTTTCTCAAGAGGAGCATAGATAAAATGTATGTCACATATTTTGGCCACTAAATGAGAAGAGAGGACTCACTGGAAAATATCTTGAAGTTAGGAAAGATTGAAGGCAAAAGGAGAAGGGGATGGCAGAGGATGAGATGGTTAGATAGTGTTATTGATGCAACATTAATTTGGGCAAACTCCGGGAGATAGTGGAGGACAGGTGGGCCTGGTGTGCTATGGTCCATGGGGTCATGAAGAGTCTGACACGATTTAGTGACTGAATAACAACAACAAGCATATACACATATAAACATGTTCATGGATAATCTTAAAGCTGAGCTAAACACTGGATGTTCAATATTTGTCAAGTAATCAATCTCCCAGATAATCATGTTGCTTTGATGGTCTACAATCACAAAGGAACCAAAATCCAAAATGCTCACCTTTAAAAACTCAAGGAAGGCAGGTTTTGTAGCACATGTTTTCTTGAGAATCCCCACAGCTGTGCTAAAATTGATTACATACTCACTATAGGCATCTAGTACCATGGATTTCGAGAACTAAACGACACAATAAAAATAAATGCACATTATCAGTCAGTTACAATATAGAACACATATTTCTAAAAGAGTATTCAAGATATTCAGCATATAGTCAAAAACTGTAACTTTTATTTAAAAACATTTGTCACTTTTTAAGGATCTCTACAAAAGGCTGAATTAGCAAGGTTTTACCAAGAAATCTCAGGCATGCTATTTCCATAAAATAATATTGTTTTGGCATTTGCCTTTAAGATTATACCTCATAATTTCAGTGTCATTGATACTATGATACTTTGTTAAGAGAACAACCTGGATAGACTATGACAGCAATAAATCAAGAACTGCCTGATTAAATGCTGTATCATTTGAGTCCATCCATCTGAGGAAGTGAGCTGCAGTTCATAAAGCTTATAATACGTTAGTCTTAAAACATGAAACAATAGGTCTGAGAAATCTGATTCTGAAACTTCTTTTATACCTTTGCCACTTTTAACTATAACATTTAGATAGGAAATGAAAAGGAAGAAGAAATTCAAACAATGCATCAAAAGGCAGCAGAGGTGAATCACTTCCATATCCTGGCCAAGAAAACAAGATGGATATGGAGGCTTTAGTTTTAGGATTCACAGTTAGTTTTTCCTACTTGAAAGATATGCAATTAAGATTTTTTAAATAATGATAAGCCTAACTTTCTGAACCAATTAGCAATGGAAAAATATTTTCAAAAGTATACAAATATGTCTGATATTAGAGTGAGGTGGCTTCTGAATTTATCTTTCATTTGAAATTGTCATCTACATTATCCAAGACTTAATAATCAGAAAGGTTTAAAAAAATGTAGCTTTTGCTAAGATCTTAAAATTGAATGCTTCTTGTTGCTAGGAAACTATTAGCACAAACTCCAAACTGAGTCCATTTAAAAATACGTTCAGTAAATGTATTAATGCATTATTTCACTGTAGGGATTTTATGGTGTCTTAAATACTGCAAGTATACACGTATAATACTTAGCTAAGTTTAAACTTTTCCAAACCAAGTGATGGTGATCACAACAGAGGATGACATTGTTAACATATTTTAATTTTTTAGTTGGAGCAGTGGAGTTCTGCAGTGAGCCAGAACCCAGTTGTGATTGATTGGTACAAGAGTGCTGGTTCCTGCATGAGGCAATCTGTGCTGTGATTGGTTGCTATGGGTGTGGAGGGGGAGTGTCCTTTTCCCCGTCTTTTTCTTCTGCGTGTCCCGTGTGCTCTGTGATTTACCCCCCGATGCTCCTGTTTGCCTGACTATCTTGTTTGATGTATATATTGATGTCAAATATATTTATTTATATAAAGCTACAAGTTTGTGTCAAGTGTTTTTTGACCCCCTTTGGACATCTGCTGTGCAATTCCCTGACAGACATTTTATTTTCTTCACGGTATTTATAATTCATCCCAGTGCCAAAGGAAGATAAAATTAAAACCAAAATAGGAACACAATAAGCAAAACGTTGCCACCATTTGTCTTTGGGAGTGCAAAGGAATCCGATCTGACCTTGAGACAAAGGTTTTTGTTCTTTTTTGGAATTTCACTTGTTCAGCCCATTTATGAATTAAACAGACTTAAGTAACTCCAAAGCTATGATCATTCACATACCGAGGCAACAAAGACATCCCCAATCATTTCAACAGAATCCCACTCCGAGACACGGCTTGCCAGGGCCATCTGAAACATTGAATGACACTGAAGAATTTCTTTAATTCGGTAGAAGACCATCTTCAGTTTCCTCTCGCTCAGTAATTTGGGCTCCATCTCTGAAAGAGGTTTTTCATATTGCTGAAATTTAAAAAAAAGGACATCAACTAATTATCAAAAACTATAATCAAATGAATTATTTTCACAATTATAAACAAAAACATCAGCAATAATGAACTACATAAATGAGATTCATTCATCTTCGTATTTATTTGGCTTCAAAATGACAGTTACTTACGTCTAATATTCTTTTCAGAGCATCCACATAGTTTTTCTCACTATCAACCACAGCGCCTAAAATGTATCTTCGCACTACCTGTGAAAATATAATATTAAATATGGCACAATCAGACACGTAATCTGCCATTCAAGGACACCTCTGCACAAACATTAACTTTATCTCCCTCAAATAGTCTCTTGTCACCTCTGATAAAGCAGAAAATCTGGTCAGTTATAACTCAGTGAAAGTGTTTCCACTATTTCAGAGACTTGTTCCTTATCTTTCAACTTCATATACAGGTAGGCCTTGACTTACAATCACAATTTGAACCAGAATTTCCATTCTAAGCAAGCAGTTACTTCCAGTTTTATGACCTTTTTTGCCATAGTTGTTAAGCGAATCACTGCAGCGGATAAGTGACTCATGCGGTTGTTAAGCAAATCTGGCTTTTCCCACTGAGCTTGCTTGTCAGAAGCTGGCTGGGAAAGTCACAAATGATGATCATATGACCCGTGATGCTACAATCATTATAAATTTATGCTGGTTGCTAAGCACCTGAATTTTGATCAAGTCACCGTGGGGATGCTATGGGAGGTTGTAAGTCCAAGGACTAATCATAAGTGACTTTTTTAATGCCACTGTAACTTTGAATGGTTGCTAAATTAATGTTGCAAATCGAAGACTACGTGTATACTATTCCTGCTGTAAGCATCTATATATAGGACATCTATATATTCCTGCTATAATCATGTATATAGGTAATTTATGGGAAATTACCTATTTAAAAAAAATGGAAGAAAACTTCCAGAAAAAAAAGAAAGAAATGGGGAGAAACAAAAAGGTAAGCTCAATTAAGAGGGAAAAAAACCAACCAGAAGCTAAAATCATATTTATCTAGCAAACAGACATCTTAAAAAGTATACTATGGAAAGCAGCTAAGGTTAAATGTAATAGGGAGTTTAAATATAAAATTGTTTGCAATTTAACAATATAAAGATGTACTGTCATTTAATGATTTAATGCATGCATTAAAGTGCAATTTTTTAAAAAACCCATTTCCACTGTTAAGTACACATTATTTACTTATTCTAACATGATGCTGACATCCAGCCTTTTTTAAAGTTGTGTCGGTAATAGCAAAAAGAGGTAAGCCATATTATTTAACTTTCCTCCAGTCACTTATATCCAGAATTACCTTTTGGTCTGCACTGCACTGAATAAAAATCTTTTTCCTGGAGTCCCACATTCACAGACAAATAAACCTGCTGCTTTGCTTAATTACACACTATTCTCTCCACAAAGATGGAAACAGATGGAGAAATTGTGACTCCAGAACAAGTGCCAGTAGCTATTTTAATCCTATCTGCCAGAGGATGGAGAGCCCCTGTAGGTTTTAAAGTAATCTCAGCTAAAGCCGTAAAAGGACAACATATATTTACATGATTGCAGTTTTTATACTTTTAAATAAAATAAATATATATTTTGCACAGGAGAGACCAACGTAACGGGTTGGGGAAGATTATTCATTCACTGTTTCCGCAACTGTAAATACCAGTAAGTCATGTTTGTTCACTATTTTGATCAAACAACTGCATACAATTTCAGTAAGCAATATGATATAAGATCTAACAAGAAGAATTAAAAAATGTTTTAACAGTTAACAAAAAAAATATTTCTGAACAAAAAAAAAGTGTGCAGTAAAATCCAGCAAAATATGTAGAAATGTCACTAATTTTGCCACTCTGAAGATACAGTAGATGCCTATAGTGTAATCTGAACAAAATTAGGATTATAGAACAGGAAGAATATCTATGTGTATCTGCCAGGATGTTTCTAAACAATAACTGGGTTCATTTACAGGTAGTCCTAGACCAGGGGTAGGCAACCTTGGCTCTTTTATGACTCATGGACTTCAACTCCCAGAATTCCTGAGCCAGCCATGCTGAGGGGAAAGGGAGAGTTTCCAAGCTGAGCCATGTTGGCTCAGGAATTCTGGGAGCTGAAGTCCACGAGTCATAAAAGAGCCAAGGCTGCCTACCCCCGGGATTCTATAACTGTCCTAAGTATGAACCAGTTGTAAATCATGTGACCAAGGGGATGCTGCAATGGTTATAAGTGTGAAAAATGGTCATAAGTCACTTTTTACAGTGCCTTTGTAAGCTTGAATGGTCCCTAAATGAACTGTTGTAAGTCGAGGACTACCTGTATCATAGGAAACGAAGAATAATCCACAATAATGGCTTAGTATTATTTGTGAAGCAGGTTCACGTGGTCTGTAATAACAGCTGCATTTAGCTCAGTTCCATAGGGAAAAAAAGATAAGATAAGAAGTCTGCAAAGAATGGAGACAAGGGATTGACAGCCCTGCTTTCCATTCTTTGGGATCATTTATCAGAATTCTCCAATCACACATTGTTTCGGGACAATCCCTCACAGAAAATGTCATCTCACTCTATTCTCCTTAAGTCAGTATTCTATGTACTCCATGAAACTTGATTAATTCCATTTGTGTAGAGGACCTCCAGGTTTATTCCTATTCTGCTAAAAAAAAATCTTAAAAAACATTGAGGCGAAACTTGATTAATTCCATTTGTGTAGAGGACCTCCAGGTTTATTCCTATTCTGCTAAAAAAAAATCTTAAAAAACATTGAGGCCTTCGTGAATTCTCAGACCAGCTAAAGAAGGTAGAAATTTCACTTTGAAATCATCCCCTAATAAAAATCAAGCTATTTTCTAATGTGCTAAATTGAGCCCAGACCTTCAGTGAGTTCATACTTGGACTAAATTGTTTAATCTAGCATTTCTTTATCCAGGGAAGGAGCAAAAGACACACAAGTGATTAACTACGCCACCTGGTGGCAAACAGCAGCATGTTCAGAATTAAATCTTTTTCACCCTATTTACTAATTACAAGACTGAATTTTAAAGATTTGAAGAAAATCACCATCAGGAAAGAACATGTCAAAATATAAGTCTACACAGAGCTGAATGGAATTATCACAGAAGTTCGTGCAATTAAGTTGTATTTTAAGTTTCTCTTCAAAGACTTTACTCAAGGAATTTATCACGTCAGGATTTGTCTCAACAATCAAGACAATTAATTGCATTTGAATTTCAATTTTGTGAGAGACAAATGTACATAAATTAGACATAAGATGTAGCAAAGTGACTTTACTGTTAGAAATTAAGCTATGTACAAAAAGACTGGGGATTAGATTTCAACAGCATCCAACACACAAACCTGTTGTTGGGATAATCCATCTGGCATCGGAGTCATGATTGCTTCTGTGTGAATGCAATCTACATCAATAAACAGCTCCTCTTCCTCTAGACAGGTAGCTCTGTGTTCTAGAAAAAAACCATATTAGAATTTCATCCACATATACATAATCAGTCCTAAAAGTATTTATTGCTCAAATAATATTTTCATTTGTTCCACCATTATTGAGTAAAAACGTTGAATTTCCACATTCATCGTTCTAAGAAAAATTCAACATAGTTACCAATCATTTTTATACAGCAATATTTTTTTAAAATAATTAATTCTCTAAAGTAGGAAACCTATATACTCTGTCCAGGAATCTACAATGCACAGAATGCTGTCATGCATCAGTGCAGCTCTATGCAGGCAGGGGCTATGTAAACCACACATTTCTCCTTTACCAAGTCATTGGTAAACATATAAATGAAAAAGGAGGTTGAATGTACATTTGCTGGTTTAGGGATAGCAATGACAACATGAAAAGTCTTAAAATTACAGAATTGAAGGTTATTCTGGATGTGATTAACGGTATTACAAGGTGGAAGTAGAGCATGTGGAAGAATAAATGGGATATTTAGCAAGTGTTTTAACATTAAGGGGGAGTTAGATGGATCTATAATATATTCCTGGAAAAATGTATTTGGAGTTTTCATGTGTGTGTTTTTTAATGTAGATATGTTCAGGTTGTTAACTGAGATGCATTGCAATGAACTAGTGGTTTGACATGGAAATGGAGCAAAGAACTGTCAATTATACATAAAGGGCAAAAACTTAAGAGGAAAGAACAGGATTTGTGTATCTTAAAATGTTTACTAAAGATGCAGAAATGGACACATAAACATTTTTAGACTTGCAAATGCTACTATAAATGTAACAGTAGCATGCAGTTCATTGTGAGGAATGTTTCACAAAAGAAGCAAAAATAAGCTCCTTTAAGAATATTCTTCAGTTCACCATGTAATATGGAAAGGAGCTTTGACTATATCAGGAGAAAAGTAAAAATAAGTTAAGTGCAGAGGGGACAGGATATTTAAAGACCATGTATCAAGAATATATTACTTTTCTTCTGTACAATATCAGATTATCAGAGAGGGCCTGGAGACGTCTCTGCAGTTTTCCTGGCAAAGTTTTTCAAAAGTGGCTTGTTATTTTCTTTCTTCCTATTCTCTCGTATTTCCTTGTATTTTTGTTTTTGTTATACATATATTATTGTTAACTAGTCTACAATTTCTTTAATTAATGTATTTAGATTTGTTTATGGTTTATATTTGTTTTAAGACTTTTTGAAAAAATATTAATTAAGCCTGTATTCAGCTCTGGGAAGGTCGGGGGAGGGCATGGGAGGGTTGGGGTGGTTTGGGGAAGGGAACCGTATTGTTTTGTAAAATTTAAAAATTTTCAATTAAAAAAAAAAGTGGCTTGTTATTGTCTCCATCCTAGGGCTGAGAGAAAGTGACTGGCCATCTGGCTTTGTGCCTAACATGGGACTAGAACTCACAGTCTCCCAGGTTCTACGTGGATGCCTTAACAACTACACCAAATTGGTTCTTTTCTAAAATATACGGATGCTAAATAAATGTGGACACAAAACAAATATGAATGACTAGTATGAAAAAGGTACACCATGCTAGTTTGATCACGGATGGGGGCCAAACAAATATGTGAAGAGAAGAGGAAAGGGAAATCCCCCCCCCCAAAAAAAAAAACCTTGATAGTTGAACATCTTGTCTTTGATGAGATCCTGAGAAGAGAATTTAAAAGAAATGCTGTGAGGGAAGTGGCAACAAACATGATAAGAACAAGCAAGGAAGGACAGAAAATTTGTCCAGTTTGTAAGGACAGAAAATTTGAGGAGGCAAAAGTACATGGTGTTTGTGTACCATGCCTTTCCTTTCTTCGCCTTACTATCTCACTCCGCATAACACTGCTTGCCCTGAGTTGCAAGCTGGTGTGCAGGTTGTGTGCAGGTTGTGTGTGTTTGTGCTTGTGTTAAGTCCAAAGTTTTTCCTCCAAGACATCCATTAATGAAAATTAAGTAGTCAACTATATGTATAATCTTTAGAGGATTTGACTTGATTTGAGAAACTGCCTCAACTGAATCACAGAGTTGACCTATCATTGTTTTCACAACTTCCGTCAAAAACCATAGCATATTCATCCAGAGCAATGTGATTTTAATAGCAAAAGTACCAGAAATAACATTATCATCCCAGTCAAGATTGTTTCCGTTTCTGAGAGTGAAACTTCAAACAATTTCAGTTAACTTCTATTGTTCTGTTAATAAACTCAATTTAATTGCATGCACGCAAGCGCGCACACACACAGTTTTTAATCTTAAGCTCAATTCTATTTTTTTTTCTTCAAAAAATAAGTTCAATTAATATTTCCTTACCTGAAAATCTGGATGATATTTCATAAGGCTACCTATGAGCTAATTTAGTTTTCTGAAGCAATGTGGTTTGAAAGATAGTTACACATTTCAATGCTATTTTGCTATAAATGGTTAATTAGTAGTGGACGATTAGTGCATACCTTGACTAATAAAGGACTTAGTTCTGATGAATGACCGACCTTTCTTCACAGCCGCTTTAGTTTTTTCAAGTCCGTCTTTGGTGCCTTCCCTTGCTGCTCTCATGAGCTTCTGCATCTGCAAGATAGGGACAAACAGATCCTGCATGTTCAGTGAGTAATCAGAGTGGAATTCAAAGTGTTACAAATGTTATAGCAGATACAAGCACTGCTTGTAAAAAGAACAATGTCAGGTTGTGGAGACCAAAGTCAACAATCTATGCTCAAATGATTAACACCTGGTCAATAATATGCCAGCTTTTTAAAATGGTGTTATCTTCTATATTTATACACAGAGAAAGATAATGAAAATTTACACACAGTATTTTCCAGTATTTTACTTTTTTAACAGAATTTAAGTAAACTTATCCCCTTTGCCATTTTTATACCTACCTCCTGCATCTCTCTCTAGACTTAACCTTAATATCAAGATACCACATCTCCAAGTTAAATTTAATATACTCTCAAAAAGATCAGAACATTTGACTAACATGTTCTGAAACACTGCTGCAACTTTTAATGCTTATTTTTATGGAATTTATATCTCACTTGAAGTGGGATGAGCAGAACAAATTAACATTTATAGAAACCACCCTACTCCTTTTCTTTGATTGCATGAATCTTCATATCCAGAAACTGGGGAAAGGGCCAGTATGAGAATTTCCCTGCATAGCTCACCAGGCATATCTGAATTTGGAGAAAAACAGGGACAAGTGCTCTCAATTTTCACTTGCATTTGCAGTTTCAATCTCTCTGCTCCCTCATGGAAAATGTTTTCCCTCTGATTCCATAACAAACTAAAGTAATGCTGGTATCCCAATTACATGTTGCCTAATTAATGCTAAAGGATATTTATACTGAAAAACAACAACCACATTTATTCAAACTCCCCCAAAAGCTAAAATCTACATGATCTTCCAGAGCAGTGGTTCTCAAACTTTTTAATGCCACGACCCCCAACCAGTCGTAAGTCGAGGACTAAACCGGTCATAAGTCAAGGACTAAACCGGTTGTAAGTCGAGGACTACCCAACCGATCATAAGTCGAGGACTTTCCCTGCCCGGGAGCGCTGCACATGCATGGTGCCGCCCCCTGCGCCGGCCGAGACGTAGCTGGCAAGTGGCAGAGACGGAGCAGGCTGACCATCGGCTGGGCCACCAGCTGGCCCAGCCCAAGGGAGATAAGGCACCTGCTGGAAAAGGAGGAAAAATGGCAGACAGCCTTGCTTGGCGACCCCCGTGAAATGGTCGATCGACCCCAAATGGGGTCCCGACCCATAGGTTGAGAACCACTGTTCCAGAGAGACATCCCATTAGTAATGACGACTCATCTAGGTGAATTAAACTGCAATAGCATAGCCAAAAATCCAGAAAGAAAATTAACTGTATTTTTCATTCCCTAAATATTAAAATGGCAGTCCAAAAAGCTGGCATAAAACCCAATAAAATTATTTTACGGTGACAACAATGCAAACAGCACAGGGTGAATACATGCTAAATTTTTTTCATCAGCTGAAGACCAATTGTTTTAACATTGATATGGTTAGAAAATCAACAATGTTACCTTCAGCTCATGTTTTTGCTTTAGTTGCTGAATCTCCACTCCTCCCACTGTGTTGGACATTAGATCTTTCATCTTTTTCTCATAGTGCTCCTTTAAACGGGTTAGGTCATGAGAAAGCTGCAGCACACAAAAAGATACAATCTTAAAATTTACTTTAAAGTGATTTATGCAGTGCCATAGGATATTCTACTTCTTCTTTCAAAACTGCTTAACCTTTAATGTATTTGTTATGGCTTGGAATTATGTAATGCAACTGGATGATATAAACATAGGCCTACTACAACTTTGGGAAGCACAAATATGCTAGAAAAAGCCATCAGAATTACATACTTGTCTTCTGTGGTTGCCACGCAGAAAAGAACTGGGTATTCCATTTTTATACTCTGAGTCGCTTTGTTCTTCATAGCTTTCAAATTCACTTGAACTCCACCCATATTCTGGAGAGCTATTTCCACCTTCATCTCCATTCTCAACATCATCATAAATCATCTCCTCTGCATCCATTAAAAATATAAATATAATTAAGTTATATTCATGTAAAAATTCTATCTCAGATATCTATGACTGTAAATGAAAATCTTTCTTTGCTATTTTCAGTCTGAGGAATGAAAAATAATGAGAGATTTATAAGGAAAGGTCTATTTTCAATGCACTAATTTTAAAATTTGGACTTTAGGCTTAGACTCGCTTAAAAAAACAATCTCTAGGAAATGCAGCTTATTTTTTTAAAAAAAATCTGAATTTAGGCTAATATATATTTATTGTGTTTAAAATGTTTAAGAATGACTAGTATTTTCTTCCATTACTTCATATCTTACAAACTCCATATCCATTTATTTATCTATTTCCTTTCACAATTCAAAGCTCATTAATAATTTATATTATTGAAAGAAAAAATAAATCATTCCCAGTTTAAAAAAAAATAAAATCTTTAAAATTATAAAATCATAAAATTAAAAAAACATGACATCCTAGTCATTGGTCCACCACAACAGTTTTTCTGAAGGCAAAAACTATAAAAGACAACCTAAAATCAAGTAGACGGCTATCCCGAAGTACAGATGCTACCACAGAATAGCACACCGTATGTGCTCCCATGAAGTGCCAGCTTGGTGTAATGGTTAAGACATCAGGCTAGAAACTAGGAGACCATGAGTTCTAGTCCAAAGCCAGCTGGGTGACCTTGGAAGGAGGCAATGGCAAACCACTTTAGAAAAACTTTGCCAATTGCAGGGACTTGTCCAGGATGTCTTTGAGAATTGGATATGATTGAAGGGAAGAAAAAAAAATATGCCTCCCTACTATGTAACTCATGGAAAGTGGGACTATCAGAGGATTCTCCCTGGGAAAATAAGTTTCCCTGGTCAAGTCTACTTGGACAAGATGGCCCTAAGGATACTCTGGAGCCAAGCCATACTAGCACTTGGAATCCCACTTGGAAGCTAACTGGGAACTAGTTCAGATCTCCTGTGCCTGCCCCGAGATAGAGCTCCCTGGGCTGTTGCATGCGCAGAAAGGCAGGAGTGCTGCACTGATGCCTGCGCCAGCCCAGTCCTCGATCTCCTGTGCTTCTCTTTAGACAGTGGGCCACTGCACCTGCTGAAAGGCAGGCACACCAGCAGGGGGAGTCCTGGTATAGAGACCTCAGCAGAATCTCTGATTCTCTGACTCTCTGATGCATACTCTTCATCATCTGTTGCTCCTCCCTTTCCTCTCACTCTTCAGCTGGCACTGTGCATGCACTCTTCCTGCTTGCATGCACAACTGCCGCCCATGGTTGGCAAATGCTCCAGTGGATCAACCAAATGTTGGAGCTTAGAGGGTTTTTTCTTTGGTTCTTGTGTTTTTAAACAAATCATGAACTCCCAGAGAACCTTTAATGACCTCTCATGGAACCCTAGGCTTCTGCAGAATCTTAGTTAAGAACCCTGTTATATATCAGAGTTATCGTAGGGTAAAGAGTCTTTAAAAATTTTATAAATAAATAAAAGGGGCTGGGTGAATTAAGATAAGTAGTGCTATAAAAGAACTACCTGGTGGAATAGAAACAATTGATTTCAGTCAAACTGTGTATTAATACAATATAAATACATTTGTGTAGTTTTCCCCAGTTAATAAGCACTAGTTGCATACAATATCACCCTGTATAGGATTTCAGAAAAAATATATCTGTTTAAATGTAAAAATCAAGGAATGTTTCTTTTGGCAATGATTTCTATCATGAGTGATACAAAGTATGAGTAGATTGCAAATATCCTGAATAATCTAAAAGAATTATGGCAGGGAGCAACAGTACGAAATATAACTGAGAAACAATTAAAAACATTCTATATAGAGATGAAGGAGCAGAAGAAAGATCTGGACAACACATCACATCAACACAACAAGTAGCCAGATAAAGATCTGGACAAAGTATCACATCAACACATCAGATAAGTAGTATTCTGGGAAAAAAATTATGGGTCACAGCAGACATAAACTGTATATAAGTCAATATACAAAAGCACAAAACAACAGGTTTGAGATAACATTGGCTTTTGGCAAACCCTTCACTTGTTTAGAAAAACATTACCCATCTGTCTTAGCGCAAAGAAGGGATGGTAAATGGCATAAAATGAGGAATGAAAAAAAGATGAAAATTCTCTTACAACATTCTGTTATACTGGTTCATATTCATGATAATGAGTATCATGATAATGATAAAGAGAGGGGAAGAATCCTTTAGAGTGAGCAGTTGGCATATCACATTGTCTATTGTGGTGTCAAAACAACTTCACACAAATGGCTAGATATTATATAGTCTTCTAATTGTCATGGGGGCTGCAGCTGCTGGGAAATGTATTTGCTCAACTTCGATAGGACTCCCTTAATCTTGAAAAATATACTTGAAGAAAAATGTGCAGGATGGAACAACATCAGGTAAAAAAGAAAAATCAATATGAATAATCAAGAAAATCAGCAAAATGGGTACATTTCAGGAAAGTGGAAGAACATGTCTTTAATAAATTACCAAAAATTCAGATATGAACAAATCTAATACCTATATAAAAAATCTCTAAAGTAATTCAGATAAAATAAAAAGATGCTAGATATTTTACACAAAGGGACATTTCTGAAGAATTGCTTGGGAACAGCAAAACCGCAAAGTGTTTCATTTTATAGCACTTGTAAGTTACCTCGCTCCCAAAGGAGTCTACGTGATGTACCACAAAGGCATCCCTTCATAAAAATAATTAGATCCAGAATAGTATTTAAAACAAAACAAAACAAAAACACCAAAAGTGGATAAAGCACCCTAAGTAAAGTCCAACACATGGGTGTCTACAATCAATCAGCAAAGACCAAAAGGATGTTGAAATGAAACAGCTTTTACTGGTTTATGGAACTGAAGCAGGAGCTTCAGCTTCAACAGACCCTCACATTGTGACCTGATTTGGCTAGGATGGATAGATTCAATTTTGGCAAGGCATTGTTTGATGTATCCTGGTGCTGGGTGATTTAGGGCTTTCAATGTTATGACCATATCTTCAAACTGAGTAGTGATTATTCCTTTTGCTAGATATCATTTCTAGGGAAGTTCAAGACATCTAGAGACAGAACATTCCAGGAAACATCAGAACATTCCATATTTCTTCTGGACTTCTAGAAGAGGCGGCATTCGGAGCCCTCTCTGTGGGCACACGTGCCGTTGCCCCAGCCTCGCCTCCCCCCATGACACCCTCCTTAACAGCAGCCTCCCTGGAGGCGAGTTGCCCCCGAGCGTGACCCACACAGAACAGCGCAGTCAGGGACATGGCAGCCAGGCAGCGTAGACAAGACTCTGCCCTCATGCCCCATCCCGCACAGTTGATGCTGCGGGGCGTGGGCATGGCGCTGCTGGGCTGCCTGGGCGATCTGCGGTGGGCCCTGGAGATGGTGAGTGGCCTTGCGGGCAGGTGGGGTGGGGGACGGGTGGGGGCAGAACAGGGCAGGGGGTGGAGTGGGGGCGGGACCAATTTTTGGGAACTCAATCTCTAAAAGGTTCGCCATCACTGAACTATAGCAACCACTTCTGAAATGTATGAGTCTACCCCAGGGGTAGGCAACCTTGGTTCTTTTATGACTTGTGGACTTCAATACCCAGAATTCCTGAACCAGCCATGCTGACTCAGGAATTCTGGGAGTTGAAGTCCACAAGTCATAAAACAGCCAAGGTTGCCTACCCCTGGTCTACCCATAAGTTAGGAAGAAAAACAAAACCGTCCAGTGATCTGGAATACAGCCGCTGCCCAGAGTCACTGTTATGGGATGGGCAGCCATATAAATTATTTAAACCAACCAACCAATAAATAAAAGCATTCTAACCTTAACACAGTATGTGTTGCACATGTCTAATTATTTCCTTGATCTAAATCCACTTCAAATCAAACTTTTCACTTCAGTAAAACTTGATTGTACTGCATATAAATACAGAATTGAAGAATAGGTACACAATCCAGAGCCCTTGGTGAACCTTCAGAAGCCTTTAGCAATTACTGAATTATTAAATGTTTGGAGAGTAATCATATTTATTAATTTTAATTGCATGGAAATGAAATACATTTTCATTTTTATTTGGCCCCAGTCATCATTTGGGGTGCATAATCCCCAGCAGGCTATTCTAAAGCCAAACAAAGCCCTTGACCTGGAAATTATGGATCCCCATTCTATATGGTAACAACATAAAATATGAGAAATATTGTAGAAGGAGAGGTAGGGAAAAGTTAAATATTTCTTCCACTTGGAACGACTATCAGTATTTTACCCTCTAATATTACTAATTAAAATTGAATTTAAACTTTAACATTAAACTTATACCTGGTTCAGAGTCTGAATTTTCTCTTGGTACATCATCATATATTACTTCATCAGGATCTAAAAGCAAAGGGGAAAAAACCTTCAATGCATTGTTACCGGAGAAATTCCTTTAAAAATAGTTAAAACTGGTAAGACACACATCTAGAGATAGATTATAGAGCCACAATAAAAAAGGTAAATACACGAACACACAAACATACATATCATATTCAGTTTTTTTTCCTAGTCAAAAGCATATTATTCATTTGATGCTGCTTCATAACTTCAAGTTAACAAGATGAAAATAAAAATGTTCTAAACCAGCCTTTTGATTTCTCCTGCACTACCCAAATTTCTGCTTTGCATTAGGAGAAATCTGCAGAAAGCCTAAAGTTTTGAAATACTCTTGTTTACAAATAAATCTGCAAAGATTTGTTTAATTCTTAAAAGTGCACATGTAAATGCATTCATTAGAACACATGTTGATGGATTATGTATCTAAATAAGCATCTTAGATACATAAGCTATAAACATATGTTCTAATGAATACATTTGCATAATTGCAGTGTTAGTAGTAAACAACTAAATAGGAATTTTAGAGTTGAAAATGCATCTTCTATGTTGTGATTCCTCACATTATACAATTGTTCATGTGGCAATTTACTTTTTCAGCACTGATTCTTTAATATCTAGCCTAAGTATAACTACTACAGAGAGCAATTCCTTTTTATTTTACATCCTTTTCAGGAGCATTGTTTAAACTGTAGCACATGTGCTCAGTTCTTGTCTGTTTCTAGTACATAGTACCACACTTTCAGGTGTCTATGAATTCAGATATGTTCTTTCTCATTTCTATCACAGTATAAAGTTTTTTTTTTAAAAAAAGGAACAAAAATTCACAAAAAGCAAGTGAGATTTGAGCCAAGAAGTAAATCCCATTAAAAAGGGAAATTAATATCCAATGCATATATTATTTCAGAAAGTCAATTCAAGTTAGTATTCTCAAAGTTTAAACTCCTCAGATATCCTTACAATGAGGAAGTTTTCTTCCAGATTTACTGGGAAATACAAGGAAACACACATCAAATGCAACATTTTGTTTTTCAGGCTTTGTTTATACCTTTGAATTTTTACAAAATATATGCCTTTCAATTTATTTGTTTCACCTAACTCACATATGTAAATAATTTTCTTATCAAGCAACTAACAAATATTTTTCTTTAAGAGTAATAAGATACGATTGGACATAATACAATATTTATTTTTGTGAACTACTGTAACATTTCTGTAAACAGAGAAACAATCTCTGAATTCGGGGTGTGCAAAATATAATCTTTCAAACTGTTACAAGCTTGAAATGATATGAAATTTCCCACCCCAGCACCAAACAGACTATTCAAACATTTAAAAGCTTTTCAATCTTGGAACAGGATGGTTCTGTGATTAAAAGAGTGCCAAGTTTCTTGAACCAGTTTATTACATACTCAAACTGACACATTTTGCAAACAATTTTGCATTGCCTACTTGGAATTTATAAATATCATCTGAATAATGAAAACAGTCCAAGCATCCAGAAGATGTTGTATAATTAAACAATCTGATAAATGCAGCAATCTGAGCCACTGACCCAAGACTGTCAAATTCCTGCAGAGGAATTATTGGTCATCCATACTCACTCTCCATCCACTCTGTATTTGCAGGATCAGCCACCCATTTGGCCAAGGCATTCTCATCTGTGATCCCCTGATTATCTTCACTATAAATTAAGCACACAGAGAGAAAATAAAAATGATTTTCACGTGTTCAACTGACTTGAAGCACCATCTTCCTTGCATGTTGATTTGGAAACTCCATTAAGTTTAATGAGAGTAGGAGAATATGGAATTCCATTAATTACTACAATGATAATTACTGAATTTAAAGAGATCTTCCACAAAATGGTGTCCTCAACAACATACTGTTACTTAAAATATGCTTCAAAAAAAATCTAAGTTGCTTCTGAGTAAAGTGGCCTGAAACCATAGGGCTTAACATTGTGCAGGAAAAAAGTGAACACACAAAAGAATCTTCTTTGGTAGTGGCATAAGTGGTGCTCTGTAGGCTTCCATGCAATCCTTTCAGACAAGACCTCTGACAAGACATCTCCCAAGTTACCTAAAGTAATGCTAAACATAGCTTCACGCCTCCCATTCAAAAATAGTGATACATTTGCACAGTGCTTTTTTTTGTTAAAAAAAAAAGGTGCCGGAACTCACACACGTCATACAACCCACCTTGCCTACCCTACAAGGTTCCATCCAAAAAAGGTGCCGGAACTCCGTTCTGGGCGTTCTATGACAAAAAAAGCCCTGCATTTGCATAGCACTCCCTCCCAGCTCCTCATTAGTCTGCCTCTCTCACACAGGCATCTCTATCACCCTACAGAGTGAGAGTGTTTGTACCTCCTTGCCTTTGTCTAGACCAGAGGTAGGCAAGCTATGGCTCTTTTATGACTACAGAATTCCTGAGCCATGCTGGCTCAGGAATTCTGGGAATTGAAGTCCACGAGTCATAAACGAGCCAAGCTTGCCTACCCCTGGTCTAGACTCTAGAGGTCATCCAGATTTTTGCAGATAAAATGAGGTGTGCTTGTTTTCCCTCTCCTCATTCTTCCAGGAGGAGGAAGAAAGTGAGAAAATGAAGAAAGCAGCTAGCAGCAATTCCTACAGTCTTCTCCTTCCTCTCCTTTCTGTGGAGGCTCTGCATTTTGGGTTACCCTATCTTGGCTGCCCACTAATAGACAGGGCAACAAGATGCATAAGAATCTGTTTACTACCATCTCGGGGTTTGCATTTCAGATATCACAGTTCTACTTCACACAATTAGGTATGCTGAAGTACCGGGCAATGGTGGGGTGAAAAGGGCAGTCCAGCAAGCCTTAAAAGTGGCTTCCTCCCTGCCTTTCCTATATTTATACTAGTATTCTTTCTGAAATGATTATTCATCTAAAATATAAAGCATGTTGTCAATTCATCTTGAGGCTTTGCATGTACAAAATAGAATATTCTTTATTGGCCAAGTGTGATTGGGCACACAAGGAATTTGTTTCAAGGGCATTAAGTTCTCAGTGTACATGCAAGCAACAAAGGGTTAAATCATAAGATACAGGCATAAATCATAAGATACAACCAACAGATAGGTGATAATCATACGATACCAATAAGAGTAGGTAATGAGCTATGCATGCTTCATATTTCATCTCCAAGTTAGAAAAATATGTGACTCCTATAAAGTTTTGTAGATAGATTCCATGCTGGTAGACCTGGGCACTCTGAAGATCAAATCCAAAGCACTCTAGAGACCTGGTAAAAGGCAGTCTGTTTAGTAATGGTCAGGGCTACGGTTCTGCTTTATCTTTGCTATCCACTAGCAGGTGTGACAAATCACACTCCGGTTGCCTTGACTGCCCAAAAGCTATTGAGCAAACAATCTGCTTAACCACTTCCTCTCTCTGGTATAGTCTGATAGAGTAGCTGCTTTTAACATGGTCTCCTCCACATAAAACAAGTGGCAAAGATGAGCTAATATGCCGCTCTGCATTAGAGCTATTTTATTTCCAGTGTCATCAGCAAGAGACAGGCTAGGAACAAACACAATCTCTAGCCCTTGCAGGAGGACTTTCTCTCAGAAATATTTGGAAAACGGCCTTGCTCTCATGGGCTCAAGAGACTTCGTGGCTTTCGTTCAAATAAGGCCATGTGAGTTATTGCCAGTACGTTCCCACTGGCTCTAAATTTAGGAATCTGATTTGGTCCATGTTGCCTAGCAAATGTTTACCTTTTGTTCCCCACCCACTAAGAACCCTGGTTTGAAAAACACTGACTGCAGCTCTAAACGGGCAATGTCCACCTGAACTGCTTACAAGAGACATTATAAAGGGAAGATTTTGGAAAATGACTCAGAAATGAGTCGCAGTAATAATTAGGTGGAAGCAGATAAAGTCAGGCTGAAGTGTGAAGAAACAGGCACATATTAAAGAGAAAGAGCATTTACTGCCGTAACTATAAGAAAAAAAGATTTTAAAAATCTATATAAAATAAGAAAGTTCATTTAATGCAGCATCTTGCTTTGTTCAATAGTCAAATAGTTTTGGAAAAAATGATAGGCATGACATTGCTACAGATTGATAACCTTTATTGTCATTTTTTACTATGTGCACAACGGCACACATTAAAAATGAAATTTAGTTGCTTGCTACTACCTTCAAGAAATAATAAAGCATGTGTAGCACCAGATATACCAGCCTATATCCAATAATACATAATCAGACATCAGCAGTCTTCTGGAACAGATTTTGGACAATCTTGATGAGGAGCATCTATTTCATAGATGGATGTCATTCCATCAACAGACAGGCATTATTAACCATGGCCTGTGTTGCTAAAGAAGTTGAATGTGACTATGAAAAGATGGACTGTGGAAGGATCTTATCACTTTTACCTGAACATGTATTAATCCTGCTGTCCTCAGTTTAAAACAGTAGTCTAGTTTTCTTTTTTACTGAGCTCCAGATGCGCTATGGCTACAGCTTTGTTGTTCTTTCACAAAAAATGTCATTAAATATTTGAATTACCTGTTTGGAGGCTCTTCTGAACTCTGAGAATTTGAATGACCATCCTCTGCTACTATATGAACACTTGCTAAAGAAATGATACAATTTCTCAGTCACAGTAATGTTAAACTGAAAGCATTTTAAATTAACATTCATTATAGTATTTAGGGGGAAGAGAAGAGGGTAGGGTCCTATTAAAAAAGAATTTATTAAGTTTATTAAGAACACAAACCTAATAAAATAGACATTTTCTAGCACAAAAAATAAGTTGTCAATAGCACAAAACTATCATTAACAATCCACATAAATCTTATTGATATTACAAAATATATTTAAGCTATGTATTGGGTTGCAAAACTCAATGTACAACCCACTGAGCAATCTGCATAGCTTTGGATTACACAGTGGGTTCAAAATATCCAAGAAATAACAGGACCATTGACAGGAAAATAATTGTGTGGGTTTTTTTTAATATAATTGTCCATAGCTCTACACTACCTTCCTCATCCACAGAAGGGTTGCGGATTATAACAGGACTGGAATACGCCGGCAATATCAATGGCAAATTGGATGGCACAGCATAGCCACAAGGTACCGGAACCGAATATCCACTTGAGAGGGTGGGACTTATAGTTCCATCTTGTGTGCTTGGCTCTGGTGACAGCAACAGCTCCTTTTCCTGCATTGGTGAAATGGTTATGACAGAGTATGGGTTTACCCGTGGTAGGATGCCCTCTGCATTGGCTTTGGAGCTCTGCATTTTCTCAGTTTCTTCTAGGTTTTCTAGATTTTCATTCCCTTGAATACAAAAGATACACACTGCTGTCAAAGCAACTCTTCTCATAATGAAAAAAAAAATCAAACTTCCTCCCTCTGCAATATGGCTTCTCCTCCCCTTCAAAAACCAAGCTACTTTCTACATACTGCACTTCAGATCTGCAGGCAAAAAGGTGCTTGGAGCACACATCCATTAGTTACATAATACTGGTCTTCAGCTCCTTAAAGCAGCTAGGATAAAGCAGCTGACTTCTTGGGGAAGAAAAGCCTTGCAATGGCCAACATCAGCTCTTTTTACCACTTGTTCTCTCCCCTGAGATTTTAAGGCAATCAGGAGAGCCCTGGTTTCCAATTACAAAAGGAAAATGCTGAGGGTATGTTTATGTTTGAAGGAAGATTTGTTTCAGGTGGAAGAACAAAAAGGAAGAATTTGCAGCTGACAGATAGCTGATGGGGAAGGAAGAGTGGGCTTGGACTTCAGCAAACCAACAGCAGGCAAGCTGAAAGGGGAAGCAAAGCTCAGCAGGTTCACCACTCCAGCAGAAATGGTGAGAAATTACAGCCAGTCAACAGGTGGTAAAGCACCTTCCTTTTCCACCTCAGCACAGAAGTATAGTTTCCTCCTGTACCATTAAAAAAAAACAACTCCCAAAAGGCATTTGGGGCCCCAAAAGAGAGGTGAGGACTGACTACAAATATTTTTATAGGTGTTTATAGTAAAGACCCAATAATAGTTAGACAGAATGCACTGTTATTTTAAGCTAGATTGCATACAAGCAGAATCCATAACTTGAATGTTTAATCTGTTAGGCAAACTGTTTGGCCTTGAGATTTAGAACAGAGTGGAGATGTTGAGTGCTTCAGATTAAAAGGGGAAAGGGTGCTTCAGAGTGCACAAGGGCACTTATCTGTAATTCCTTAAACCTAATAGTTTTTTTTTTTCCCCTGGGATTGATAACCATTGAAGTCTTTTTGGGAAATAGTACAAATCACCAACAAACAGACCATTTTTATCTTTCCTGTGTTTTAAAGGAAAGCCTTTAAAAGGCTTCTGTTATAAATTTAATAAACTTGCTTATTTTCCTAACTTCTACCTTAACACTTAATATAAGTATAGTATAATATAGCATAGGCTGAGTAATAACACTATGTCAATATCTATGTGTATATCTTAATTCAAATAGTTGTATAACAATTCTGTTCTCCTTTGTTGCCTGTTTATACCACAGTTTTTCAGCCACCTTCAGGTTGGTTGCCTTCAATTGCTGTCAGCTGCTGTTCTTAATTGGAGATCCTAAGTCTTGTAAACGTCTCTCCACTGAGCACCAGGCTGACATAGATAGAAAAACCTCAGCAACTCAAGCAGTGACTTGTCCTGAATTATACAACTCTCACCATTCAATATAGGAGCATTAGAAAATATGACAATTTTATACAGCAGACATGCTGGCCAACATGAGAATTCCAGAATGCTGCATTTCTTGGCACTAGAGTAATCTCTGAATCTATACACTAAGAGTGTCATCTCACAGTGGCTTAATTGCATAGGTCCCTAAGAGTAATTCATACGCAGCTTTTCCTGGGACAAAGCTCATTTAGGTTTTCATGCAATGAACAGTTTTAATTTCTGAGGGTCTGAATTAGTTCAATCCATGATTCCCAAGAATGAATATTTGCAAGTACCATGGAGTTACTCTCAAAGGCAATTCATATTCACAAAAAGTAACATTCTCATGATTTATTTTGCCTGGAATCATGTACCTATACAATTTGCCTCTTCTTGAATTGGCAAAATATTTTGTCTGTCTGCTTCTGGTATCTCATCTCCGCTATCAAAGTCGAACTGTTCTCCTTCTTCTTCCTCTTCTTCATTAGCAGCAGTAACTGGTATGTCATTTCCTAAAACTAAAGAGTGGACATCTTTAAAAGACAAACCAAACCCTTGAGTATGAAATGAATAATAATCACATTTTTAACACTTGATATTAGGACTTAGGATATTAGGACTTCAATATGCTTCACATATCAATCTTACATTCAAATCCTATGAATGTCTGTTTTCAAAATTATAACATATATTGATTACTGCAGAACTATTGTTGGAAATACGGTATATAGGAAGTATATGGTAAAAATTCAGCAGATACATGAGAAGAAATGCCACTATTTAGTTGGTAGCTGTTATTACTCAAAAGTAATGTATGCAATATATTATTTTGATATACATGCAACCAATTTATCCACCATTCTTAGAAGCAAATTAAAAATATGGAACTTCCAAATAATCAATGCTGATACAGAAGAATGCAGACAATCTGCTCTTAATGATCAGCATCCTTACATGTCCACCGAAAGGTCTATAAAGCCAGTAAGAATCTCCAATACACTTTCAACATTTAAACTGTTTCATGCCAAGGTGATTTTCTATACAGCCAATATCATGTTTGACTACTTCTAAAATCAAAAAGAACTACCTGGATTCAAACAAATTTATGTCAGGAAGCATTTGTAAGCTTGCCCTTTTATAAATATATATAGGTAGTCCTTGACTTATGACCGGTTGCTTAGTAATCACTTGAAGTTATAGTAGACCCCCCCCCCCAAAAAAGCTACTTGCAATCAGTTTTTAAGTTCATTGCTCCAATGCCCACACAGTCATTTGTCCTTACAATCAACTGCAAGGACAGAAAGGGAAATACAGATGCCGCAGTGGATGGGGGGGCTTGGATGGCCTGGGGTGGGGGGTCATGAGGTAATCAAGTGGGCACTTCACTTAACAGTGTCATGACTTCTGACCAAAATGGACAGTCCCCATTAATCCATCTTTAGCTGAGGACCACCTGTATTCCTATTATATAGAACATGTCTCCAGTATGAACATGCAATGCTTTAATATTAAATTACATGTTAGTTCAGAGTAAACTCTGTTAAAATATTTAGGACCTCACATTACAACGCTAATTTGATAACATGCTGGCTTATATATTCAGATATATTACAAAAAATAAACAACTGGCCAATTGAAAGGCAGCAGATTCCTACACAAAGACATTACATAAGCTCATTTTTAATTAAAAATGATATCAGGCAGTGATGTCAGACCTGGGTGTTTACTAGGAAAAACTGGTCTAAGAACAATATCCAGAGATTTTATATTGCTAGAGAAACTTTTATCCAAATGTGAATCCATGGGAAATAGTATTGGAATATATTAAACAAACAAATAAATAAAGGTGGATTCCAAAACAGATGAGGTCTACAGTCTGCCAAGGAAGGCTATGTTATTTAATAGTTTCTCTGAGGAAGGTCTGAAAGCTTTTGCCTGCTGGTGAATAAAGCAATATTAGAGGTTGTGTGAAACTGTTCATTTCTCTTGATCCTTCTAGCTAAACATTTAATCTATTTTGACTCACTTTACAGGGAGATCAAACTTTGCCCTATCCCAGTCAATACCATTCTTATTTACTCTATGTACCTTTATTTCGTCCAGTGATGGCAATTAACAAAACAAATATGTTTTATATTTGTAACTATCATCATTATCAAAGCCTTGATTCTTACCACTCAGTCAGCATTAACTGTAATGTTATCAGCTGCTATCCTTTTCCTCAAATACCACTTTTGGAGCAATAAAACAATTTTTTTTAACGAAGACAGAACTTTGGCCACATACCGTATGTGTTTTTAATATTATCTGAATCATGGCCCCGTCTAACTTCTGCTTTTGACATGTAGCCATCACAAGGGAATGGGTGAGGTAATTAAATGGTAACTAAGTATTTTTCATCTTGGCATTTTAAATTCAATCAACACCTTTAAAAAATCTATTAAGAATGGAAAGCATAAAAGAGTTCCAAATTTATGGAAGAGTTAATGCCTAGGTTACATTTTTGTGCATACATTTCCTTAGTATGTGGGAATGACTTGGGAAGAGAGATGTTATCTATGGGAACAATAATATAGGAGAGGTCATAGCCTACAGCTGCATAATGGATGTAGAAGGAAACTCAGAAGGACCTCGCCCCCCCCCCCCCGCAAAAAGTGCTCTGACTGTAAAAGAGACAGTGGGATACTTGTACTTTCAGACTTGCAAGAGTCCCTTAATGTAGTCTTACATTAAGCCAGAATTAGCTAATCTGGTCTTGTTTCCAATCTGGTCTTCCCAGAAAAGGCTGACACTTTTCCACAACAATGACTCCATCTATAAAAAAAGCTTTCTTGGAACTGGAGAGATGCAAAAATGCCTTGATGTAGAGCTGCAAGAGCAGACGAACCTCTAAGCAAACAATACTTACTCAGAAATAAGAATGTTAGGACTATATTTTCATTTTATACTTATATTTACAATTAAATGGAAGAAATGTGTGTTGCCAAGGAATTTACTTGCACTAACATTTTCAAGTTGCTGCATGGATTCCATGGGTAGCCTTCCTGTGTTTTCACACTGCTTTTCCTTTATTATTTTCATTTGTGAAGAATAATTTATTCAAGAGTGAAAAGAATAGCTGTACAACATGATTGACTAAACACTAAAATCCATTTGTCTGACAACAGTCTTTGATTTTAAAATAGGGAGGGAAACAGTGCCTTACTACATGGCCTCCACATAATACTAGATAGGAATCAATAAGGTGGTAGATTTTAGAATCAAAATGGATGCCTTTAGACTAACAACATCTAGAGCTGTGGTTCCCAGCTTCTTCTATGTCCCTCACCCTTGGGAAATGTTTGATTAATATTCACACACAAGTAATTGTGACTTGTGACTCATCCCTAAGGGACACAAGCCACTCTTTGCCACACCCCCTGAAATTCCTTCTTGTATCTCCTGGGGGTGTGGGCACTCCAGGTTGGGAAGTTCTGATTTTGGGCCTTAAAGGAATATCGAAAAACAGAAAAGAAATCCCAGTATGGCACACCCACTTCTGTAATCTTGCCAAGGAAACTAACTAGGCATGTCCATGAAGTCACCAGGAGCCCAGCATGACTTGGGAGATTAATCTTTAATTGGAAATATGTTCTTTCATGTATAAGTTAACAATGCACAATACCCTGCTTACATTAGTGGGGAAAAAAGATTTTTGTTCTATCTCTCTGTTGTGAAGCATGGCTGTTATATAAAAGTAAATAATTAAAGCTGGTTTACCTAATTTTATTTTTCTGTTTTTTCAAAAAATCAAATACTTTGGCTTTTCCCTTTCATTTTAAAAGACTCTTCTCTTTTAAAACAGAAATTCAGACACAAAACAATCTACCAGCAGCTTCCAAAAAAAGGACTATTGACAGCTACAATTCAGAAGCTGTTCTCATTCGATTTAAATCTTGGCTCCATTTGTACCATCTTTTGTAACCGTCTATGTGCATAAATAGGCATTTCTCACAAACAAATGCCATATAGTACAAAGTTCAGTCTAAGCAATATTCTTACAATCCTCAAAGAAGGCTCTGTCATGCAGGCTTCCTATTAAGTTCTTTGTTAAACTCCTCACTCTAGATTACATGACTTTTAATAATCCATAATTTACAAATATTCAGTGAACAAATTATTTTAATTATTTGTTTGCAATCATACGTAGAACTTAATTCTGAAATGTCATAAATAGGATTGTAGTCTGTCAGGCGTTTTTCATTAATTTATAAAAAGGCTACCATAGTTTCTTATATTTCAGGGTAACACTCTACTTTTTCTAAATGTACTTTCATTAAATAATTACCCAAGTTGAGCATTCTTCACCAAAGTTTCTCACAACATTTTTATGCATAGATAAAGTTTTAGAAGATAAGTAAAGCTGTATCAGTAATTCTGGCCGTAGCCAAAGGTTCGAAGAACAGGTTTTAACTTTTGATGCCTCTCCATCTAACGTGGACCTGGCCTTCCTAAATCTCCAGAAAATAAATCATTATTTCCAGATTGTGAAACATAAAAACGATTTTCTTTAATGGAAAGTATAGCACAATACAATTATTAAATCTCTCAGATTCATCCTAAACATAACTCAGAAGATCTGGATATACTATCTCACATTAAAAAAAAGAAAGCCCTTTTACACTGCAAGGAAGTCATAGAGATAACAAGATACTGGCCGGATGATACTGAACTCACAAGAAATTGTATAATATAGACAGTACAATGGAAATCAGTGGTAGCAATATCAGAAGAGACACTTGGGGTTAAACTATCATTAATACATACTGGAAGGAAGTAATGTTTGCTGCTGGGCAGCATTTTAACATTTTTTTCAGCCAAATAATATATTGTTTATGGCTGAATTAAAAGGCAGTCTTCCCTTTCAAATACTTAGGTAAATAGAATTCTGAGGGCATACAGAACTTAAATGTTGCATAAAAGACAGCAGCACGCAAAAGCAAATTTTCAGTAAATATCAGATATCCTTCAGGGAGTATAAAGGTATTTTATTGACTCCATCATTTATGAATCCAGAGCCTACCCAATACCACCTCCTTTGAGAACACTATACGAAGGACCATGTTTGAATATGTTTTACTTGTATGCTTCCCAGAGTCCCTCTATGAGGGATAAGGCTATTTCTAAAGTAGATGGATGGATGGATGGATGGATGGATGGATGGATGGATGGATGGGCGGATGGACAGACTGATTGATTGGTAGAGATAGAGACAGACAGGTAGGTAGGTAGGTATAGAGAGTCAGCCAGACATACAGGCAGACATAAGACACCAAAAGCACAGTAATTTCTTTTTTAAAAAAACACTATGCTCTCAGCTGGGTTTTTTATATATATATAAAAATACAGTATTAGGTTAAAAAAGCCTGAAATAGACACTTCTTCTGAGGCACTCTGGAAGTTAAGGGGGGAAAAATTATTTTTTTCAAAGCCAGAGAGTCTCATGGTCAAGAATCAAAATAGTGAGCAAACCATATTTTTTCAATAAATTAAATTCTGAAGCTGCCCAAGTCCTCAGTAACTCTGGGGACTTATAATTAAAAAGAAAACAACATATATCAAAAAGAGAGTGCAGCTGAACAGAAAACCTTAATACACATAAAACCAAAAAGTCAAAGGGGCATGACCATCATCCTCTCCCAGAGACCAGGAAAACAACCACGTTTTTTATAGCTTGTGGAAATTCAATAAAGTGGGAGCAATGTGACTCTCTGAGCATAACATTGCAGAAGACAAGGTCCACCATCAAGAAGGCATGCTTTCTGGATCCTGAAAGATGACACTGTTTGCTTAATAGGATTCACTCTATCAGATCTCACTTGGACTGGTAGAAACATACAGAGACAAGCAGTTCCTCAAGTAGCCAGGCTGATGCCGTGAAGAGCTTTATAGTTAATAACCAGTATACTGAATTGCACCCAGAAGCCATCTGATAACACTGCAAATCACACAAAGCAGTGGGGACACATACCATGACACGACCATCACTGCCTGCACTACTGATTCTACACTAAGTATAACTTCTGAATAGTTTTCAAGGGCAGCCCCATATAGAAGGCTTTACAGTAATCCAATTGTGAGGGACCAAGGTGTAATTGATCTCCTGATTCTAGAGGGCCTCCTTGTCAAAAAAGAGGTATAACAAGCACACCAGATGAACTTGTACAAAAATTATTTCTCTTTCAGTAGCTGTCAGTCCAAGAGGACTCCAGATTGTAACCAAAGGGAACAGTAACCTCACTGAATATTAAAGATGGAATATCCCCAGACACAGATAATAAGTTCTTATCACAATTAGACCTGAATCTGTTCCTCCCCATCCAATTCTGCACAGGCTCCAGATATTGAGCCAGGACTTGGACAGAATCACTTCTTTGGCCTAGGGGCCATTGATGATTCCTGACCCTAAACAAATGGATGACTTCACCCAGTGATTCCATTTAACCGATTAAAATCCTAGCCAGAACACAAACAGATATAGCTAATTCAGAAAAGAGATTGCAAACCACGTTAAGTCAACATTTTCCAGAAAATTATACATTCACATATGTTTTCACTGGCTCTTTCCCATCACATATATTGACTTATCCACCCTAAATAAAAAATGCACTGTAAACAACCTTGCAATAGCGCAACCACAATATTGTGGTTACATCCCACAATAATAGAGATCCAGTTCCAGATAGGAGATAATATATAACAAATGAAAAAATTACTAGAAACAACTTCTCATCTTTAATAACCAGTGCCAATGAATGAAATCACTCAATGGAATCTTAAGGAAATCCAAAACACATGCTTGACATAGAATCTTCTCCCTATGAGTTTATGAAAACAAATAATGCAGTGAAGAAAGTAAGATAATTCAGAATAGTAAAACAACATTTAAAGAATTATTTTAAAGACCGCCACCTTGATGTAGTGGTTAAGGCACCAGGCTAAAACCTAGGAGATTATGAGTTGTAATCCCACTTGAGACATGTAGCCAGCTGAGTGACTTTGGGCCAGTCCCTCTCTCTGAGCCCCTGGAAGAAGGCAGTGGCAAACTATTTCCAAAAATCTTTCCAAAGAAATTGCAAGAAATAGGCCAGATGGTATCCAGGAGTCAACAATGACTTAAAGGCACAAAATAAATAAATTCAAATATTTTAAAATGCAGGCATTTTCAATTTAGCATGAACAGCCATACTTTTTTATTTATATTACCTTCAGGAGGTGGTGGTGGAGGGAATCCTTCCATTTCCATGCTACTGCTCTTTCCCTAATGTGTTTTCTTTTCAAGATACAATAAATGATTCTGTAATAAAAGATCATTTAAAACAGGTGAACATTTTTTTCACATTTTTTTAGAACGTATCATATACCATACTTATTACACAGTAGAAAATTGCCTGAATGTTCAAGCACGAGAGCTTCTTGAAGTCAGAGGATGGCATTTTATTTTATTTTATTTATCTATTTTGTAAAGACAGAGTTTGGGTCTATTGAGAGCCAATTTGGTATAAGGGTTAAGGTGTTGGTTGGCCTAGAGACCAGGAGACTGGGGGTTCTTGTCCTGCAGTAGGCCAGCTGGGTGACTTTGGCCCAATCATTGTCTGTTAGCCCAACCCATCTCACAGGGTTGTTGTTGTGGGGAAAATAGGATTAGAAAGAAGTAATAAGTATGTTTGCCACCTTGAGTTACTTATAAAGTAATAAAGATGGGATAAATCTAATAAATAAAGTAGCAGAAGTCGTTTATAGTACAACAGTGCTTTATGCCAATCTACAGTGACTGTGCGTCCTTTATCATAGGTATTCCTTTATTTCAGAAAGCTGTGCTTTAGATTTATGTATTTTTTAAAAAAAAAACTCACTTCTGTCCTTTATTTTGGTCATTCAACTTGTACCATACAAATGGCACCACAAAATGCACTTTTTCAATTCTTGTGAAAAAAACATGCAAACCGAATTGTCTTTTTTGAAATTAATTTAAATATGCTGCTTGGTTTTAGATATCTTTATTAGGATATTTTGGTAAAGTTTTTCTTGGTTTTGTTCTTGAATTTTCCTTTGCAAATAATTTAAAATTTTTATCTTTATGAACCTCTTTCAGATTTTCCCCTTTTTCCAATGTGTCCTATATTTTTTTTCCCCAGGAAAATATGATCACCACAGCCATATCACATCATGAATAGGTTGGTGTAATAAAGATGGATTTGCTGGCACAGTATTTGTCTGAAAACCCCTCACTAAGTGTCTAGCAGCAATAACCTTTCCATGCCTTAATGAAAGTTTCTGCTATTAAGCACAAGCAAAATGGTATCAAGTGGAAACTCTCCTTCATTTGTCCTAACATCTTCCATGTTTTGCACTGATACAGAAATGATTGGCTACAATGTAACTCTGCTTGTGTTTTCATGCTGTACTAACTCAGCAATTAACTCAGGCACTCAGCCAACAGCCCTTACCAACATCAGAAGTGTATATTTCTTGTCAAGGATAGTGCTAAGCCTCCTCTAAGCCTGTATTATGGGCTGGGGCTACTCTGTAATAAAATTAATCTTTCCACACATAATTTGAAAGATTTATGATTATGTGGCTTAAACCCAGATAAGCCTAACTTCAAATTAATTCATAATCCTGAACAGCGGAATCAAGGGGAGAATTTATAAATTTAACAACAAGAAATGGAGGGCTTAAAAATGACATCAATAAATTTTAAACCCAGAATCAAAACGAAAACACCAAACTACAGCTTGCTTGTTCTGCATTTCCATATATTTTCACAGTATGTTAACCCTGCCAGTAGTTTATAAGGAAGAGGCATGCTGCCAGTACTTCTCTCCAAATTGCTTAGTATATTAGCAACTTTTTGCTAGGACTGTGCCAAAATTTCTTGCTGGCTTCAGATTTTTACTAAAATCCCATTGAGAAGCTGACACATCCCTGTGTTAAAATGCAAAGGAAAGGAACCACGTTGCATGGTACTGCCTTAGAAAGGCTGCAACATGTACAGTAATGTTTTTTCATCAGTTTTGGTATGTGTCCCAAAGGTTGGGAAGCATATTGAATTCATGACAAGATGAGTGGTGAATAAATATAATAATAAAATGTACTGAATTCATGAATTCAAGTATTTCAATAAGTGAAAGAAATACCCTATATTTAATATAATAAAACTTTGATCTAACATGTCATGAGCCTCTATAAGTTTTGGGTTGTTCTGAGCATTTGTCTCAATTACAGTAAATCAAAGAGAAAAAGGCCTTGAAAAAAATAAAGAACTTGTTTTGAATCTCACAAGAATATTCTGAGCTAGCTAAATATGTTTCAACGCCTTCAGTGTTGTGATATCTTACAAAACCTGGGCTGTCTGCAATCAAGTTATATCAAAGACATGACCATTGCTATTTTCAATTTGTATAATCTAGCAATTAATTTTTTATATCACAGATTGTGATTCCATTGTTTATGTTCCACTTTTCTATCCCTTATCTTATTAGTTTAAGAAAGAAAAGCCAGTATGAATAACTTGCTGTGTTTTTATTATTCCATATGGTTTGGTATCATTTGAGACAAGCCTGTGAATAATAATTTGACTGTTTTAATATATTAGTTTTCTCCTAAGCATATTACTTGCTATTTTAATTGTGGAATATTATTACAAACTGAAGCAAGTTCAAAGAAAGCTTGAACGATAACTTAATATTTTCTCCATAGTTTAAAAAAAACAGATCTTAACTAACAGTTAATTAGTTATGTTTCTGCAAATAAACTTAAGTACCACTCTTATAAAGTGATATGTTCTGTTGTGGTAATAAAGTGCAGAATTCTAATTCAATTATTTTATAGATTCTAGTCAACAATTTTTCTCTCTATATTTAGAGTAAAATGAGGTACTTATTTCAAATGATTCTCAATATGCTAATTGCAATGTATATTCCTAAAATAATATTGCAGACTATAATATTTTCCTGGAGTTTTAAGCTTATTATAACTATTCAAGTGAGGGAGAAAACATTTTAAAACTCTGGAAAACATTCTAAGCTGCTTTTTATATTGTAATTCAATTATTCCTATCACCAATATGGAAAGAGTAAGCAGGACACATTCTTAACCTTGAAAGTTACCACAGTGTATTCAGATGTTTGTCAGATAAAACACAAGCTTTGTAACAACTGAAACAGATTTCTCTAAATGTAGAACTTCTGTGCATCATTCAGTGTAGCTGCTTGTGTGGGTTAGCTGCTTAGCTACCCATGGATTAAAAGCAGGGGTGTCAAACTGCCAGCCCACAGGCCGAATGCATCATAGCGAAACTGCACTCACCCCATTGCTGGCAATGGCAAAAAAGTCGCGATACATCACGACACGTCACATGATGTTGCGAGTTTGACACCCCTGGACTAAAGGATTAGTGGTTCATTAGAATGACTACTCCCTAAATATGTATCATGACTATCAGGTGAATGAAAAGGTATTAATTTAATTTAATTTAATTTAATATCCTCACATTTCTGAGGTTGCAGAAGTTTATTAACTTTACATTAGTTTTAACAATGCAGGTGAGTTTTTTTTTACAGATCCTCACAAGCAATGGTTTATTATGTGTTGCTATGTATGTTTTGCTTCTTGTTTCATTACATTTCATGTGTCTTCCAGCATAGTCTTTCTTACCAGTTACAAATACAAATAGGCCATGTTTAGTACAAGTTTGAATGATGTGATATTCAATTTAGTACAAAGTGTAAATTGATACCAGACTGCAATTGAATGCAACCCAAAATTCAGTTAATGCAAGGCTGGTGTGTGCAGAATTGAGACTAGCACACATGCATTTGCAGTTGTGGTTTTAAGAACTGCTGAGCTTTTGTGTGTGCAAAAGAAAAGAGAAAAAGAGAAAAGAGAGTCTGTCAGTAAAGGTTAAAAAAAGAAAAGGCCCATTATTACACTAAAGCTACAATTTAATGTGATTGAATGACATGAACGTCAAGGCTACAATAAGATGTTTGAATGCCTGAATCTGCAATATAATTTTTTTTGTTTTATTTTGTTTTTGGTAATTAATCTGAGACTTTGTAAATGATAATTTTAAATTGTTGAGTATATTCTTTATATCTTCTTAATATTTGATCAATATACAGTATATAAGAAATTTGTTTAAATTTTGACTATTTTTGAATTGGAACCAATTACCATATTTTCCATAAAAATAGCACTTCAAATAGTATGAATTCAAATAATATGATCATTTAATGAGATTTGTTAACTGTACTAATCGAGACCTACATGTATGACAGGACTTCTAAGGAAAAGCTAAGAGTATAGGCTGGCTTATAAAGAGGGTATAGTCTTTCAAATATTTTAACAAAAAGATCATAGGATATTGTAGCTCAGAAACCATACTTCGGCTTGGAAATAGTGGGTAACCTGGTGTATAATTCAAGACTGATGGTACAGTATCTCTAAGGCACTAGGGTCAGACTGTATATTTTGTAAAAGTGGAAATACTTCATATTTAATGGAAGTCTCACACATATTGTTATAATACACTCTTTAGTATTGCAAAAGTAAAGGTTTCCCCTGTCCAGGTGTGTCTGACTCTAAGGGCCAGTGTTCATCTCTTTTTCCTAGCCAAGGGAGCCATCATTGTCCAAGGAGCTTCCGTGGTCATGTGGCCAGCATTACTATATGCCAGGGTGCAAAGAGTGCCGTTACCTTCCCATTGAAGTGATGTCTATTTATCTACTCACAATTTGCATGCTTTCGGATTGCTAGGTTGGCAGGAGCAGTTAAGTGTTGCATGAAAGACTTAAACCTCTCTCATTTGTGAAAAAGATTTAGCTGGGATGAGCTGTGCAAGCAAAGATAAATTGTAATATTAAGAATTTAACAAGCATCCAACCGCACAATATTGGCTTATTGCCCTTAACCAGAGTGTTCTAACAGGCTACAGTGGAACACCAAATGGACTCCTGCCTTATGGAGCGGATTCCGGACTCTGCCTAACGGGCTTGTGAAGGGTCCCCTGACAGAGCTGGTTTAACATCAATGGTCTGACTAGCCAACCCGAAAAAAGGAATCCTTAGAACAACTAAGTCCCAAAAGAGAAAACATTATTGAATAAACCATCTCGGAACTGAAGAAGCAAAAACAGCTCTTCTTTTCCTGCACGAAAGCTTGTCCCCAACTCTCGGGTGTTCACATTGTCCAATGTTACAACTTTTTTTTGTTATGGGAACAATCCACTTCTTCATCAAGCATCTACAGCAATGACCTTGTCCAATGGTACAACTTCTTTTTGTTATGAGAACA